GCCTGGCGCCCAATCGTAAGTTTGGTGAGTAAATCTTTGATTTAATTTTGAAAAGACGTGCCGAAGGTGTGCGACACCTTCGCTACAACATCATAGAGCGAGGTGCCCGTCACAATATATATATATATATATATATATAGAGAGAGAGAGAGAGAGAGACTTTGTATGTAATAATATGTAGATAGTACTGCCTTTTAAAGAACAAAATATATTATCTGTACAAAATATGAAAAGTATTTAAAGTATCTATTGTTACGTATGTTTTATGATGAAACAAATTATGTAAAGAAACGAAACGGTTATATTTAAAATATAAAAATTTTAAGTTATAAGAAAATTAAGTTTTTACCTCTTTTTCACTTTCAATCTTCTGTTGACATATAATTTTAGTATGTTCAGATTATATTCTTATTATGGACGAGCATTTTCCTCTTGTATTTCTTTTATTATTTGTACTTTTTTTAAATCTTTTATGTAAATTATTATGTTTATCAATTCTTGATAACCTTATATGTAGCTCTTTAAGTGGAACTTTATTGCATTCTTCTTGTAATGTTCCTTCTAAAAAAATTTTGTATAAAATTACATACACACGCGCGCGTGCGTGCGTGTGTATGTATATAAAAACTTAATCATAAATTAAGACTATTTCATAAAGCATTATAATAGATATATTCTTAATAAATGTTTCCAACTTAGGATAAGTTTTTATAAAATTATTAAACTATTTTTTTTACCATCTGTTGCTGAATATCTTATATTAGATTAAATAAAGAAAATATAAACTAAGAAAAGGAGAGAAATTAATTAAAAACCAGTATATTATAATTTTTTATAAAGTCTTAATCTTAACTTATGATTAAGTTTTCATGAATAAAATGATGGAATTGATGCAAAATTGTAATTTATTTGTAGTTATCAATATATTTTGCAAATAATTTATTAAATAAATTATAAAATAAGTATAAGAAAAACAGACCTTCAAAATTTTCTTTTTCTGTTTGATGTAAATATTGCTTGTTAAATGAACGGAACATATATAAAAATTGCTGAAGAGGTAACCTACAAAGTAAATAAATTTTATTAAACATACAAAAGATTCAAATAAAGTATAGTACGAAATACATTACACAGTTTGTCCGGAAAGTTCCCGGACTACGTGAATTAAAAATCGAAAATGAAAGATATGGTTTATTAAACAAGTTTACACTTCAAGGTA